GAACCGATAATGGTGATCGTCTGTTGCAGCTATGCTCAGACAATAGTTTGTTTTCAGAAAACAATAATTTTAAGCATAAGGAGAGACATCGCCTAACATGGCGACCACTTGCACCATACCAACAACGGACTCAAATAGACCATATTGCCATCAGTCATCGTTGGAAAGGTTCGATAGTAGATTGTCGCTCGTATTGGAATACTTGTTTAGACTCTGATCACGCTTTAATACGAGCACGCATTTGTCTGCGCCTCACTGGACGAAGGAAAACTACATTAAAGATATCCATTACGATTGAACTGGAGCACGAAAAAGCCAAATGTAAATTCCAGGAACAACTGAGTTCACATCTAGGCAGTCCTGTAAACAAGGCTGACCTAGATGCTGCTTGGAAAGACATACGAACAGCTGTGGAAACAGCAGTCACATCTATTAGTAATTTAAACTATAGGGTTCCAAAAAACCAATGAACTTCTCCCAAGGCGAACTCCTGCATAAGTTGGAAAGGAAGGATACACAATTTGGGAATAAATAGAGTGAAAAAGTGACGTAGTAAATAATAGTAATAATAATAATGTAAATTGTATTTCTTCTATTAGGAACGAGAGCAGTGTAGTTAGTGTAGTGAGTCATTTGTGTGTGGGCTGTGATACTGCCCGGGTGCCCAAATCGAAGCATTGATAAGTACTGTCTCTGAATAGTGGTAGGAAGGTTTAGAAAGAACAAGACTTCTTAAGAAATTTAGTAAAATCCTTTTTATGTCACCGCATAAATAAAAATGGCAGACGCTGTCATTGGTAAAGCTAGGAAGGCAACAGAATTTTATGGTTGGACTATTCGAACAATGGATGGATGTTCGCATCTGTGAGTGAGTCCCACTTAGTGTATGGATGTACTGTGACGATAGAATTCTAAGGAGCGCCCAAAAGTAATATAATCGGTTTAATATAATAACTGTTCGCTCCAACATTCGATTATATATTGACCACTTGGTTTCCTGCCGACTACCTCTAGTCACCAAATGCCAGAAAACAGTGTACGCAACTTCGAGTCACTAAGACTAGTGGCCACATTGCAACACAGTCAACAGAATTTGATCAGCATTAAAAGGACAAAACGAACATGATATTGCCAATCACTCACTGTCGACTGCGTAAAATTTTTATTAGTCTTGTGTATAATCGACGGCTCTGATGGTACCAGCTAAAAATGGGCGAAATGTACGTCAGTACATTTTATGGGGATTTATTCACTTCCAGACATGTTACGTGAAAATCACATTGGCTAGCTATTTTATACCATATTTAAAGACCGCTGGAGCCAATCCATCTGGACCAGCTGCTATTCCTCGTTTCAGATTAGTTATAGCCTTTTGAACTTCAGCTAGAGTTGGGGGACCTACTTCAATGTTCCATTCAGACTGTCTGGGAATAGTGGGTAGTTGTGCAGTAGCTGAAATCCAGCTGAACTGCTCCTTAAAGTGTTCTGCCCATCGCTCTGAACGTCTGGGCTGAGAGCAGATAAGGGTTCCGTCTTTTTCCGAGATTGTTTCACTTACACTTGACTTATTAATTCCGGTTTCTTTTATTAGTCTGAAGAGTTGCCTACAGTCGCTACCTTTTCCATCTCTTTTGCTTTCGTTGCCCACCACTGCTCACGATCGTTCCTTAGACTTTTAGGCAACATTTCGCGGATGGATTCGCGTAAATTCATCCCATCAGGCTCTGATCACGACGAAGAGCGTAAATAAATCAGATCTATGTTGACCAAAAGTCTAAGGAACGATCGTGAGCAGTGGTGGGCAACGAAAGCAAAAGAGATGGAAAAGGTAGCGACTGTAGGCAACTCTTCAGACTAATAAAAGAAACCGGAATTAATAAGTCAAGTGTAAGTGAAACAATCTCGGAAAAAGACGGAACCCTTATCTGCTCTCAGCCCAGACGTTCAGAGCGATGGGCAGAACACTTTAAGGAGCAGTTCAGCTGGATTTCAGCTACTGCACAACTACCCACTATTCCCAGACAGTCTGAATGGAACATTGAAGTAGGTCCCCCAACTCTAGCTGAAGTTCAAAAGGCTATAACTAATCTGAAACGAGGAATAGCAGCTGGTCCAGATGGATTGGCTCCAGCGGTCTCTAAATATGTGGCCCAATTTTAGCGACTAGGTTGACTAATATTCTGGCTAAAATCTGGGAGTTGGAGGTAATCCCATCCGACCGGTCACAATCACTTACTGTCCCAATATATAAGGGGTCAAAATCATCCTGTGATAACCATGGAGGGATTAGTCTGACTAATATGGCACCTGAAATACTAGCCTCAATAATTATCGGGCGCCTAACTAAGACTCGTGAACTGCAAACACGAGAAAATCACGCTGGCTTCAGACCCAGTCGTGACTGTATCGATCACATATTCACCATTCGTCAAGTTTTAGAGCACAGACATGTTTATCGGCGTCCGACAATGATAGTTTTTCTTGACTTGAAAGCAGCATTTGACTCTGTCGACCGAGAAATTCTGTGGCAGTGTGTGTCATTGAAAGGTGTACCTGAGAAGTACATAAACCTTGTGAAGGCTCTTTACTGGAACACTACCGGTCGAGTTAGAGCTTATGGCGAACTGTCACCTGATCTTACAACCTCAAGTGGTGTCCGGAAAGGCTGTCCACTGTCGCCATTCTGTTCAACTTCATCATAAACTTACTGCTGGAAACAACTTTCTTGTCGACTAAATTTTCAGGAATTGATTTCCTACCAGGGGGTACACTTCTCGTCTTAGAATACATAGTTCTGTTTGGTGAAGACGCTGATAAAATGCAGTCTTCTGTTAAAAATGAGTAACAATGCCAGGATGTCTGGGATGCGTTTCTCCCCATCTAAATGTTAATTGTTACTCCAGCACTGGCCTGCGTCAACACCTGAACTAAGTATAGGGAGTGAAGTAGTCTAACGCGTCGACAACTCCACTTATCTCGGAAGTCTGATCAGCCCTAATGGGTTGGTGTCTGACGAAATCTCAGCACGGATTCAAAAAGTTCGTTTGGCTTTTGCCAACATACGTCACCTATGGCGAAGACGAGATATCCGTCTATCAATTAAGGGACGAGTATACTGCGCAGCAGTTCGCTTTGTTCTACTTTACGGCTGTGAAACATGGCCATTAAGAGTAGAAGATACTCGTAGGTTACTAGTATTTGACCAAAGATGCCTTAGAAATATTGCTCGCATCTGCTGAGATCAACGGGTAAGTAATAGTGAGGTTAGACATAGGGTATTAGGGAATGATGGTAAATCAGTTGAGGAGGTCATGAATCTTCATCGACTGAGATGGCTGGGACACGTGTTACGTATGCATGAACATCGGTTACCACGACGCGCAATGTTGACTAGTGTAGGGGATGGTTGGAAGAGAGTTAGGGGCGGCCAAACCAAAACATGGCATCAGTGCTTGAAGTCACTAACTTCTAGCCTGAGCCATGTTGGTAGATGCAGACTACTTGGTTGGGGTCCGCGTGACTATCGTAACCAATGGTTGGAGACTCTAGGTGACATGGCTCAGAATCGATCACAATGGCGTAGGTGTATACACTCTTTATCTTCCCTTAGACCTTAAGATTGAAATTGCTTCATAACTTTCTTCCTTCCTATACTATATCCTTATATACAACCTATCTTTTATACACTACCACCACTAAATTAACTACTTGTATGAATCCGGTGTTCATTTTGTTGTGCTAACGCGGTATGTCAACTTGGACCGATGCATAAATGTGCTTGGTCCTACTTTGTAGCTGACTGACTGGCTGAATAAACTTGAAACACTAGCAAGTAGGTGTGTACAATTGATGGTACAGTGCACGATGAACTTCGTCTTGTCCGATATGAGAAAATGATCAACGACAAAAATTCCAGTGTTTAAACTTGATTTTGAGTAAAATAGTTATGACCCTAACCATTACTATCCGATAATAATTCTTGGTAGTAGTGAACGGCAAATCCTTCGAACTCGCTTCCGGTAACCTTTGTCAATAACAAGAATATATTCAATCATTGTTGTGAGTCTTTTTTCTCAGAACTTGTGGTTTCCGACGACTGTTGATGTCTACATTTCGCTAACATTCCTATTATTGATTTGGTTCTTGTCAGACTGAACACTATATACACATGTTTGCTTTTTGGATTTCTCAGATCGTATGATCACATTCTGGTAAACATCTGCTTGGGGTCGCGTGTTTTTCAACTACTTGGTTTTGTTGGTTTTTGATAGCTTTTTTCGAAGCATTTTTCACCGCCTCAAAAAGCATGGACAGTAAGGTAGGGTGAACTTATTTAAAGATCTTTCGAAATATCCCAAGGCAGTATCGTTGGTAACTTTGGTTACCTGGAATGAAGAATCAGTGAATTAATCCATACCATGCTTTAGGTTGTGACGCTTCTCATTTGACCTTTGTGTAATGTAACAAGGCCATAAAAATGGACTTTTTGTTTATTAGACTGGATATATTAGTATGATGAATAAACCTGACCATCAGACTAAGTGAGTATTCACACACCAGCAACATGATATGATTTAAAAACAAGACACGATAAGACCTTAAGGTTTCGTTGATCAGTCAGTTCTTAGTGGTTTGCGGTTTTTGTGCGTAAAATGTTGTTATATATGATTATTCACTGAATAAATAATTTTGTCGATGAGTGGATATAATTCAAGAAATTCTAAACTCTTTGCTAACGTAACATTATTATGTCAGTGAGTTGTAATTTAAAATACAATAGTTCAAACCAGAATCTAAATAATATGATTCGAACCACACCGTGGAAATCAGTGGTACAACCCGGCTGGTCAAACAAAACGCAATATTTTTTCTCAAGGCTGCAGTTTATGTAATCAACTGTCAGCTTAAGTGAATATTCTGTTTCAACACAAAAAACATCTTAAAGTTATCATAATGGACACTGGTTTTAAGACAAGACCAAACAAGATAAATGTACGTACTTGAGGTAATGAAGCGGATACTTTTGAGGATGTGAAAACCTGTGTGTATCCTTAATGGAATTAAGGTGTTTTTCTTCTGGTGGTTCACACAAAGGTATAGATGGTAAACTTAGATTTTCGGGATCCATACAGTGATCATCAGAAAAGCAAGAGGAAGATGAAGAAATGCTACCACCATCTGAAGACCAAGCATCTAACATATCCAAATGAGAATTAGCCAAGTGAACATCCTGTTGACGTTCCCAAGCTTGAATTATAGATTGCTCAGCAGGATAAGTTTGAGAAGCCTCACTTTTTCCATCATTAACAAGAGACATGGATTTAGTTGTAAGTTTGACGTCAAGATTGTCACAAAAAATCACTGGAATAGGGAAAAGTAATATTCAACCTTAATTACTGAGAAATAATAATTCAAGGTAAAACATCTAAAAAATCTTATTTCCAGACCAAACAAGAAATCAAAGTGTGAAATAGGATCCTGGAACCTAGTCTCATAACTACGTTATAAAGAGAGCAGTGGTAATAGCCCCCAAGATACAGGAGAGGTGAACGAAAATACGAATCAAGAGGCAGAAACATTAAGGCTTTTGAGATGGTGGAGATTTGTAGCTCAGGTGGGTGATTTTTATGTTTGGTTTGTTCTCTGAGCTGGATGGTTTGGTCGTGGAGCTTTCGTCGTCCTTCTGAACGACCTGTTTAAACATCTGGGCTACCTGTTCCTGTCATCTAGATATTTCAACAAGTTATCTGATTTCGTTTGTTTTAATACATCATTATGCCTATTAATCGCACAACCTATTCAAGTGCGTTTCTGAAAAGTGCAAGACCTTTCGCTGTAAAGGCAATATGCAGCGAGAAGAATGTACATTATCCAGATGTCGATTGACTGGGTTGCTAACTTCTAACCGGCGATCACCCAATATTTGTCGTCAGAAAGGACGAAGAAGTAAGAAACGGAAACTTGTTGAAGTACTTTGTGCTGAGAATTTTATATTGTACCAAAAATATAATATTGAATAAAGCTAATAATAATAATAAACAAACTTCGGGTAGAAGTTTGTGCTGATTATGTCGTTCAGAAGGACGATGAAAGCTCCACGACCAAACCATCCAGCTCAGAGAATAAACCAACATCAAAATTAGGGCTTTTTCACTACACTCGGAGATACCAAGCCACGTTTATTCTGGGATTCATTTGTTGCATTGCCACGCAGGCTGACAGGTATTTGTCAGGATCCACCTTATTACTGGTTAACTGATTCATCTAGTTCAATAATATAAAATACATTTATCAGTCTAAGCGTGTATAAAACTTCTTCGCGCCTAGGTGTAGGTTGAAAAACACAAATAACTTGTATCTCTGCTGAGATTTTGCTAGCAACCAGCTTATTAAAGCTAATGAAATTCCTAAAGTAAGTGCTCAGTCAATTCAACCATTTTATTTTTAGATGTCAAACTAAGTTTATATATAAAATCTAGTGTAGAATTTTAGACTAAGGGAAGGAATTATATGATAAGCGTTTACACTCACTGTATTGTTCGTTCCTCCCAGAAATTTAAACAAAGTGAGGAAAACAATATTTGCGGAACACGACGAATTCACTATACTTCGTTACTTTCTCTTTAGCAAAATACGAACTAGCAAGTCTAGTTGTTTTGACTGTTGACATAATGTTGGGTTGGGGAAATGAATTGTCCATTAATAACAAATAAGCTATTTGGGATGTTAGTGGAGTCGACAATCAACGTTTCAATGGGGTTTTAAAAATAATTGGGGTGACAAATTCAGAGTATTTAAGTAGTGCAAAAAATATTCAGGAGACTTGGGAAAAGTATGTGTTAAAATCACTGGATTGCAGTTAGTTACAGGAAGGAATGAGATCAAAACATCCAGTTTGCTTCTATTGCTAACGGAGCTGAAGGCTAATCACTAACCCGTTTTTAACACAAAAGTCAAATTTAAAACATTTAACAGTTATGGCTTCCATGAATTGGGTGGGATTAAACTATACTGCCGATCTTTGAACGAATCTTAAATGACCTTGAGAAATATTAGCCAATCAGAAGACAGTTAGTATACAGCAAAAATATATTATACAAAACCAAAGAATTAAAGTGGAAACACTTCTTTTACATGGGTCAAAAACTTCTCAAGGTCAGATATAGGTTCAGAAGTTCTAAAATCATAGTGCATACGGTACAGGAACACATCCATATGGCTCCATAGTAGTCGACCTCTGAAACCATGATAAGGTCTCAAAAATTCTTTTAGCCTCGACCACATAGCTTCAATAATGTTAGTATATTGGTATGGTTTACGGGTTAGGGTTAAAGTTTAGGTGTAGGATTTAAGATTATGGTGAGACTATAAGTTATGGACAACCTTTGAGCGACGCTAGAGTGACTCTGAGAGTGTCAACATAATAGCTAAAACCGAATGAGGGTTATAAACCTGTGTGAAGAATTCAAATTATGATTTACAGTTCATGATTAAGGCTAGGAGTTATAATTAGGGTTTTCATCACGAACTGACATCAGCTATAATGCCAAAACTCTATTTATCCGAATGGATAATTGAATTTCGCGCCAAAATCTTATGATCACTTCTATTGTAGACGCTATTATCACGTCTTCCCTAAAATCCGCTGTAAACCGACCGTACGTAAGCATCAGGTACCGAACTCAGCGCCGTGACCTTGAAAACCCGCGAAAGCTTCTGATTGGCTCGGCAGTATAGTTTAATCCTACCATGAATTATAATGAAATAGTATTGGATCGTTTAGAAAATCTTGAAAGTATTCGCTAGATTAAATTTAGGCTTTGCGTCTAGCAGATGACGAGCCGTCAAACTATGAAGGCCGTTTTGTCACAGTGAACGTAAGTTCTTGTGGATATCCTAAATACATGTGAAAGTTTGCTGTCCTGACTTTCTAGTGCACGTTCTTTTGTATATTTTATCACCGAATGTCAATAAGAAGAATGTTTCCCACAAGATTTGTAACTTGTTATACTACTATAGTATTCAGTACCAGACTTTATCACAAGCTCTAGAAAGAAGCCATCTTTTTGATGCCAATGATTCATCAGTGCGTACATCTCTTTATGCTTCATTGATGAGTATAACTCTCCGGCTCCATGATAGAGCGTTCTCAGTATTTCATAGTTGCACTTCCGGTTGAATTATTTAGAAAGTTGCATGCTGTCCGTCTTGGATCAACAACGCTGTTATCTACACATTCAAGTCATATCTGATTCATTGGTAGGAAAGATCGTGTGAATTCATGGAAAGAAAATCTAACCGCAAGGAGTATTTCAATTACGAATTTCGATGAAGTAGATAAAGCGAACAACCCTAATCTTACAACTTTTGGACAAAATCGATCAATTTAGGGCGATTTCGTTACAGTCTCAAATGAAATGTTAGGTGAGTTCTGGGAAAATGTGACAAGATTTACGCCTCAATTCGATTTGTCCCATAATCTATCTAAGGCCATATTTTTTTCCGAAATTCTCCTAAAATCACCCAGAAAACAAGCAAAGTTGTTAGCTTGGGACACAGACAGAAAACAAGCCGTAACTATTTCATATACTAGCTGAGACAAACCTTTGAAGGACAACATGCAATCAACGTGAACGTTGCACATCGCTCGATTCCCAAATGTTCATTTCCGTCACTGTAATGACAAGGTGTTCACTATTTAAATGCAACTGGGAAAACAACGGAAAGTCATGCTACAGGTGGTTTAGTGTTTTTAAGGCCCTGAAGGCTATGCTTGCAATTAATAATTTTTGAGTAACAAGAAATTGGTTTCTGTAAGAAACCAAAAGCAAGTTGTTAAAAGCTGTTTTGCAATTCACCCTAGGGTGAGTGGACAGCACAGTTATTAGGCAAACTGCAAGTCTTAGACACAAAAACTTCGCCAAAACTCGATACTTAAGACATTGAATCTTAATAGATGCGATAAACAGGGCTACTTTGAGCTAAAGCAAGTGAATAACATAAGGACTCACAGACCCCCCAACCACTTTTGTTTGCGTTACGACCAAAGAGGAAAATTGCGCTGTACAATATATGGCTTCAATTAAATCCAACATCAACCTGACTTAGCTGAATAAGAAAACCATTTTTTCCTTCAAATCTGCCTTTAGGTAGTTGTAGTGGTGCATGGTCACCGATATATTGATCGTGCAAACTGAAAGGCTAAGGAATTTCGTTGAGTGATTAATATTTTCTACCAATTACACTTGGAGTAGCTCCGCCTGCAACTCTTCTAGAGTTACTGCCGGTCTCAAGAGCAGGCATGAGAAGAAGGCTGAGAATGGGGTCAGCAACCCTATCCCGTAAAAAACAAACTTGCTAAAAAATAGGTCAAACAGATTAAACGAATTAAACCATTCAGACCTTGTCCTAAAAGTTGAAGGAACAACTATGACGACTCATGATGAAAGCCAAGATTCTTCGTAACTCACGAGACCGATGTAACTTCTAACAACCAAATCAATTCTTTTTATAGGTACATGAAACGTCCGCACAATGTGGGAGACTGGGAGGACCAATCAAATAACAACGGAAATGAGGAGATACATGTTGGAAGACGCCTACATTACTGTAGTCTTTAGTCTTGAAAGAATATCGTTTGTCGTTTTTGCGGTATATTTTATTGGCTTATTGTTTAGGTTTTTAGCTTTTAGGTTTGATTCTCTTTAGTCACCTATCTTAGGTATTATGTCTGTTCAACTGAAACATTATTTACGATACCTCTTTAGACTAGTGTACTTGGTTTTTGCACAATCCGGTTGAGCCTGTAGAATAATGGTTTCATTCGTTATTAGTACTATCATAATAATAGATACGACCCTAAGATCTGTCATGACGTGAAGACCTAATCTATAAGACCTTACATGATAGTCACATCATTGTCTATTCTGACTCATCGTATCGTAACGATCAGCAATATAGGTCTGGTATTTGTAAAGAATGCATTAAAGATAGAATAATATATTTAATGTGATTAAAGACAAGTGATACAGAATGGCTACGCCCGCAGTGCTGAGCCATAACATCTGATTGAATTTAATCGATTCCTTCCGCCTCCTCTGTTGTTGGCCTTCTTTCGTGTTAGTTGTTGAATACAAGTCTTTTCAGTAAGTATGTTGGGGTGACCCTGAAAATTTCTCGCAATAGACATGACATGCTCAGAAAACATTAAGAAGCATTATACCCCATCAGCATTTGACTAGAAGTTTTGCTAAAAACATCATGAAAATGAAAAGTGACATGTAGAGTTTTTGATTGTTTGATTACCACACTGCTACT